GTCCAGATTCATCCAAGTGTGCATCCAAGTAGTGGGTAGTTACAAAATCATGGATGTAGTGGGCATAGTGGGAAGTTATCCTATCTGACTGGGCTGTAGTCAGTGCCTATAAATTGGCCAAGGCATTCATTTGCTGGGCATCAGATTTTGGAGTTCTAGAGAGAGATTCTAGAGAGAGAAACTCCTATAGTTTGTAAGCCACGAAAATCAATAAAGTGTTAAGTCGTTCTTGTCTTATGTGTTCTTCTTTTAAAGTGCTTAAGTGTTGTAGGCTGGTCTAGATTCGGTCTAGACGCCATCATGGGAACCTCCTCGGTCCCTAACTTAGAAAAAAAAACTAGTCTCCAAATTTTCCCGTGACGATTTGGTCCGACCTGCCGGAAAGGCGAGTTCAACTTAAGCGAAGCAACAAGATGAGACCTCCTCTCTCCCGATCAGAGAAGAAATCGTGGCTAGTATCAAACCCGACGGCTAGGAAACTGACCTTGACAAGAGACATCCCTAAGGGCGTGTCGGTCAGTCCAATCGCTGCTAGACCTCTACGTGCTACTCCTGGAGAGTCAAGTGGTTGTGTGCCCCCTCCGAGGACAAGCACCCCTCAACCCTCGAAAGAGTTGGAAGTTATCTTGGATGAGGATCCCCTATACGCTAAGGTCATGACCTACTTGGGGGATCTTGCAGGAGAGGTGCTACATTCAAGTGATCCGTGGCTATCTCTTAGCCAATTAAAGACCCTCGTGAAGGAAAATCGTGAGAAGATGGGATTCAACCTTGAAGATCCATGGTCCACTTGGTGGAACCAGGTGAAGGCTGAGGAGATGTTCTTCATGGACGACCGCTTGGCAGAGGTCATGGAGCAGTGGTGCCACCGCGTGTGGGATGTTAGCAGCAACTTCATCTCACAAATCCCCTCTCCAAAGTTGGAAGTGTTGCTCGGTGACTAATTTTATTCCTTGCAATGCTCTTGTTTCTCATGCAGGTGGTTGGATTGAGGACCCTTCCGTGCAAGGAAGTAAGGGATATGCTATGCCTAAGGGAAGATCAAAGAAGTTGGCACAGGCGACCAACCTCATCAAGGTGGCGACCAAGGCTGTGGAGGTGGTCAACCTTGAAGATTCTGAGGAAGAAAGTGAGGATGACGCTCCGGCTAGGTCTGAAGGCTCTCCTAGTTGGAAGGGGTACCACTTCAGCGATGACGAGGGGAACATGGTGATTCCTTCACCAGAATACCACCCTATTTGTGCATCGCCGGAGTACAACCCTACCACTCCTGAGTATGCCAAGATCAAGACTGATTTCGGCCCCTTTAGCCCGTGAAGATAAAAAGCACTTCCTATGTGAGGAACTTATCTATCTACGTTTATTGTTGCTTATCATGCTGTCTTTTCATTTCGTTTTTGAATTTCATTTGCTTAATGTATACATGCAAAGTGTAAATTAAAGTATTAATGAAAAGAAATGTTGCTTTTGGTTCATTACCTTGCTTGTTTCGATAGTCACGGTGTGTTATGCGATAGCACACCAGCTTAATTGATCGATGTATTGATTTAAAGCTGGAAGTGCGCACGAGGTGCCACTCCACCCAGAAACAAATTTGACTTGAAACATTGCGAGTGTAACCATTGTAGAGGATGGGTGGTAAGTCCTTAATAGCGATAAGGTCCTTGGGAATCACACTTAACTTTCGAGAATTCCAACCGGAATGGGGACATCCTACAAAGGTTGGCAGTTTAACTGGGGGTTACGCCCGATTCTTAAAGTATGAGTGGGGATGTTGAAGGAATAAAGCTAATAAGAAGGCAAGACCCCTCCCAATGAGAACCAATGACAGAGTACTAAACTCTGCAAACTTAGCTTGGAACGGTGAACAAGCTAAGGAAAGCAATAGAAATGTACCATATAATTGGGCACATGGTCATTGAGCACCATGCCAATCCGAATGTCGAACTCTGGGATGAACTATTGGGAACCTCTTAGTGTAAGAGGAGGATGTCGGTGAACATCCTTGCAACCGAGGTGTTGCACCCATGTTAGACTCAAAGTCTAGGGCATTACGAGAGAGTGACTCTCATGCTTGACATTGCGGATACCCTTGCGAAGGGTTGAGTATGGGGAGACCCATAGATTGGGCAAGAAAGTAGGGTACGTGACACCATTTCTTGGCCCAAGGGCTATACACGTAAATGAAATTACGCCAAGAGTGCTACTCTTGTGTCTGCGTAACTGTCTTTGATGCACTGTAAAGCCCGGATCAGAAGGGAAGGCTCCCTTTGATGACCTAAAAGGGTCAGTGACGCCTGGGTTGAACCCAAGGCTGGCCAGAGAAGCAAGCTGGAGTGCTTGCGCTCAACGCAAAGGTAGGAGCGTTGAGGTGAACATGGTTCGAAATCTTCAAACGATGCTATGAGGATAATGATGTGATCAGGTATGTCCGAGTCTTAGATTTTTCCAAATCTGGTTGGCTAGTGGAATCGAACAGTTGTGGAATGCCACAAACGTTGCTCTAGGCAACACTCTTGTTGATGCTATGCAAATCGCCTTAGAAATATGCTCCAATCGTAGGTGATTTGGGATATCAAGGGAGTGACCTTGACTACGATCACCTAAAATTTGGATGCCAATTGAGGAAGGTTGCTATTATCAAAGGGAATGTTCGAATCTTAAGCCTATAGAGTTTGAAAAGCTAAGAGGACCTTACACCCATAGGCATCACCATGACTGGTTGAGTCATATGCGAAGGATTGCGCAGGACATGTTCACAAATTTCGTGGAGTAAGGTGAGACCTTACTGCCCTAGTTTCTCATGAGAAGATGAGAATTGTTGAGTGAACTCAACGATGAATTATTACCATGGTAAAGAAATTACTCAGAGAATGAGTTGGTCTATGGACCGGCAATCAATGCGATTGGTTCCAAGGCGGTTGGGGAGCAATGACGATTGTTTCCAACTGAGCCGAGGTTAGCAAAGGCTAATAAAAGTCTTGGTGATAGAGCTTGCATGTGGATCCCCGGGCACATGAGCACTTCCAAGCGAGTAGGTGGCAAGAGTAGGCCATTACTCCACCCAGTAAAGTGGTTACCCGAGCGAGGGGTGACATTTGGGTGAGATGCGAATCATCTCGAGATAAGCTCCGTGGGAGGGAGCAACCCTATGAGATTGCACTCGGGAAGAACGAGAGAAAGTCCAAAGTATTCCGTGCCGGCTTTAAAAAGGAATTTTGGACAAGGGTAATGAAAAAAGGGATCTATGATGTTGCCTAAGTACACGTCGGTGCTACAAAGTAGCCCAACCAGGTGTCAAGAAGGCTAGGCGTGCGAGGCACGGCCAATCTCGAATAAGGGAAATCATGATCCAAAGAAGATACTAGGAAGTCTCGCCAAAGTTAGCAATGTGACTAGACACCTCTAACAACAGAGACAAGGGGTAAGACCCGGATTGAGAGAAGGCGTTGTGCTTAGAAAGCATAGGTCACGCAGTGACCTACCTTCTCGATCCTTGACGAGGACTTCAAGCTCTTTTGGGCATAGTAGGCAGGTTTGTCACCGTCACTTGCGGGTCGACCTAGGCAAGGCCGTCGACCACCCCGCAAAGGCGCGCAAGGCCTTCGAAATCCCACTTGCCTATACGAGCAAGTATACGCTCGGTCCGGGAAGAACGAGCCAAGTGAGGCTAGAGTACCTCACTACCATGTCTAAGGTAGGTGAGGTTATCAGGGATGACCTCCGGGTTCTTAGACCGCGGTGCTAGAGAAGCACGGGTCAGCTAGGCCTTGGGCCTATGGCCAATGCGCGCGCGCGCTAAAAGATCCTCGGAGTGTTTGGTCGGACAAAACTCCATAACAACCTTTGATACTTATTGAGGGGACTTATTAGGACCCTAATAGATCATACATGGCCTAAGGGCCAAGGTTGGGTTCAAGGATCGGACTTGAGAGTCCATTATTGTGTTACTGTCAGTTGGGTGTTCACTAGTATTCTAAAGCTGGTGCTAAATAAAGCTCTTTAGGGGGCGAGTGCTCACTCAAGGGTCAGGGGCTGACTCAAGGGTGGCCTTAAGGCTATGGACCTTAGGCATGGTCTTGGACATAGGATGGCCTATGGAGACCATAGCACACTTAGATGGATAGGTTGGACACCCAATAGGACAAACCGACTCGGTGGTCCCGGCTAGGAGAATTGCGGGCTGACTAACAAGGCTGAGGGCTTAGTACGGTGCATGTTTGCTAGTGGTGCGTGGTTTGACTAGGGGATGCTCTTGGGATCATGTTAGGGTGTCTTTATGGTGGTAACCATAGGGACCCCGGCATGGAGGAACGAGTGCGGCCCGGGTCAACGATGTCTTTGGTGCCTTCGACGAAACCATGGACTTACGTGGCCACATGCTTGATGCTAAGGAATGACCTTGGCTTGTAGATGGTCTAACCAAAACTCTCCTTAGTGGATTGCTTTGTAGGGACTCCTTGACGGTTATGCCTAGTCATCATTATGGTATGCGGTTGCCTTAAATATAGGGACTGGCTAAGTAGTGGTGGATGGTGGACGGTTATGCAAGGTAACCACCCACGTTGCACCACTCTCTCTAAATTATAGGGACGGTTATGCTGAGGTGGCAAGAAGGGCTAAAGATGATTCCTACAATATAGGACCATATCGTTAGTGGGTTGGCTTACGGTTATCTTGACCATGATCCTTGACGTGGTCAATCGGAAGCGTGGTTAAGCCACACCAAAGGACGATTCCTATAAAATAGGAGCAACCAAGGATGGTGGGTGGTAACCATTTGGACGTGGGTAGGTATTCCAAAGGAGAATGCCATGTCATGTGGAAGTTACCCCCACTCACTTAGTGGCCCTAGAAAATAGGAGCACTAAGGGAGTGGGCGGTTATGCTGAGCAGGCAGTTACAATGGCCTGGCAGTTGAAGTGCCACGTAGGCACACTGATGCATGCCTCCTAAAATATAGGAGCATGGCATAGTGGCAAGTGACGGTTACCAGACGGTTACCAAACGGTTACAAGGGCATGCAGAACGTGGATAACTTCCCTGACTACGTGGACAGGTCCAGATTCATCCAAGTGTGCATCCAAGTAGTGGGTAGTTACAAAATCATGGGTGTAGTGGGCAAAGTGGGCAGTTATCCTATCTGACTGGGCTGTAGTCAGTGCCTATAAATTGGCCAAGGCATTCATTTGCTGGGCATCAGATTTTGGAGTTCTAGAGAGAGATTCTAAAGAGAGAAACTCCTATAGTTTGTAAGCCACGAAAATCAATAAATTGTTAAGTCGTTCTTGTCTTGTGTGTTCTTCTTTTAAAGTGCTTAAGTGTTGTAGGTTGGTCTAGATTCGGTCTAGACGCCATCACGGGAACCTCCTCGGTCCCTAACTTAGAAAAAAAACTAGTCTTCAAATTTTCCCGTGACAGGCAGGGAGGTGGCTGGCGCTGGACGCTGATACCTGGGGGTGCTGTTTTTTCTCTTTTAATAGGTAGTTAAAAATTTAATCAGCAACTAAATTAAACTTATTTTGACCAACTAAAGGTCAGTTGGGACCACTGGAAGCAAATTGATATTCAAGTTCGGATTATTAAAAATATAATCAAAAGTTGAGATTATTTGTAGCGAATGATGCAATGTTAGGATTATTCTCGTCAATATTTCCTATATTTTATTATGGAAAAATGCACTTTAGTAATCCCAACCTATTACCGATTTACTTCTAATAATCCCAACTAAGGTTTATTTTTTAATAATCCTAATTATGCCTTGATTTTGCCTCCAATGGTCCCAAAAACCAAGTACTTGCTAATAGGGCAATTTTTTTATCAGCAAGTTTCTGGTGTGGCTAGCCGCACGGTGCGGCAGAGTGCCACATCAACAAACAACAAGTAACCCCCTTAGTAACCCCTCCGACCTAGTAACCCCCCTAGTAACCCCTCCAATCTAGTAACCTCCCTAGTAAGCTCCTTAGTTACCCCTAAGCTAGTAACCTAGCAACTAGGGGTGTTCAAAAATACCCGACCTGAATGACCCGACCCGCTGTCCCGATGACCCGGTGTAAAATAGTCGGGTATTTTTTAAAAAAATTGTCAGTTTTCGGGTCGGGTACCCGACCCGGGAAATCTATGTTGTTGTCGGGTCGGGTCATGGGCCGATCTATGTAGCTCGCGAGTACCCGAAATACCCGTTAAGTCCTTTTTTTTTCCTTCCTTCTGGAATCTTCAGTTTTTACTTGTTAGGGTTTTATAGTTTATTGCATTTTCAAACTTTACCCTCTACACAGCCGTTTTCCTCTCCTCTCTTTCTTTCTTTGGTTTTCCTCTAATCTCCATCTACATCTCTCTCTTTCTAGTTATCCTCTTAATCTCTAATCTCCATATATTCATTTGTAATTCTTCAATGTCTTTATCTTTAACTTGCGCTATATTCTTCAGTAGATCTCGTAATGGTGGAGGTAGGTAGTTCAATTTTGTGAAGGGGTCTTCATTTTCTAGGTTATAATCACAGAAATTAAAGGTGGCTTGGCCATGGTGGTTGATACTCATTGATAATGGGTCTCCAATTTAACAACAGCTCCTTCACTCTTAAGCGGCCTTAACATCATTTTCTAGAAGATAAATCTTTACTATCAGAAACATCGAAGGCAAAAGTAACTTTCATATCACCAGATTTGTTAAAATTTGGGGGAAATTTTAGGGTTTGGACCTTCAAAATTTAGAGGCGGAGATATGAGCTAGTTTGATTGCCTAAGATACCGAAGACGACGACGGTGGAGATGAAGACGACGATGTAAGTCGGTGCGCCAGCCATTAGTGGTAAGAGAAAGCAAGTTAGAAAGAGAAAATGAGAAGATAGATATGAGAGGTGAGGAGAGAGAAGAGAAAAAAAAAAAAGAATTAAAAAATGAGAAGATACATATGAAACTTTGTATTTTTTTTGTTGTTTTTTTAAATGCAACATGTTAGCACATTATTTGCCTAATTTAAAATAAACAAAAAGTTTTCTAAAAAAAACTTAACAACCCCACTATTCCCAGCCAACCTAGGAACCACCATCCATTGGAGGTGGCCGCTACTACTAACCAGAACCACCCTCTTCCTAGCCGCATCCCCCGATACCTCCCCTGAAACCGTCGGATGCCCACAAAACCGCTGTCTGCCCACAAATTTGTACGATCCCCGTGATACCGCTCCCTAAATCCACTCTCCTCCCTTCCCTCCCCTTCGCCGGAAACCAATTCAAATAAAAAAATGCACAGCCCCTTCCTCCGCCACCAAAATCGCCCCTCCTCCCTTTCCCCACACTCAAAATCGGTCTTTTTGGCGGTGGGAGAAGCGAGAAAGGGACGGTTACTGCGATGGATTCAAGTAAGGGGTCTGGTTTCGAGGGTTGTTGTGGGTTAGATTGGTGGTTTTAGGGTTTAGGGTGGGCTGGTTGGTGGTTTTAGTGGTCTGGGGTGGGTTAGATGGGTAGTAGAGGGACGGTCGACCGGTTTTGGTGGTTAAGAGGGATGGTCGGTCGTTTACCGGCGGAGGTTAGGGTTTGGTGTGTGTTGGGGGTTAGGGTGGCTGACTGGGTTTTCGTTTTTTTTTTTAAAAAAATAAAATTTGAACCAATTACGTGTTGACACGTTGTAACACCCCCAAGTTACTCTATAATATTTAACAATGCTAATCCAATTTTAGGGAGTAACATGGGAGTATTACCGCCATGTGATTACGTAAGGCTTAACAGATTTTTGCAGCGGAAAACAGTACTTATCTTTTATTAATAATAATAGTAATAATAATAGTTTGATACACTTTCAAAGTAGCTACACCACTAATACTATGTTTACTAAATTAAACTAGGTGATCACCGTCCATCATTCCCAATGCAGCATATAGTTCACGTTGTCCGATCGCCATCACCTATCTACTTATCAAAATGATAAGTAGGGCAAAGCCAAAACAAAACAAATACGTATTAGCCAAAATGCTAAGTACATACAAATGCTAGACATGTAAAATCAATTTAATTAATTAAACATGCTTTCGAAGAGATTTAACTTTAATAAATCATAATTTATCCAAACCATTCCTGAATAGAAATTCATGTATAAAAACTTGTCAAAAGAACCAATTTCCGAAATAACCAACTTTCCAAAGATAATTCCGAATAGGATGGATCAATCCATATTTTCATAAATCATTTTCCCATATAAGTGTGCACACCCCCCAAGCTAGTAGCTCCTTTACATAGTGCTATCAAGGGGAAAGACTAGGTCATACAAAGTCCATAGTCTTCAACTTACTCCGCATAGTGGGAGTTAAAAATCCAAAGATCCAAGGAGTAAATCCTGTCAAATAAAGTTTCCAATATCCCATACTCGGGATAACTTAAACAATAAAACTTCCTTTTAAAAATATTTTGAATATCAGTACAAGTTCATAATCAACCATATGAAATATTTAAACATTTGAGATCAAACACTTAAAACATGTTTCATCGAAATATATTTCACAAACATTTAAACATGGTTCGAAATCACTTAACATGTAAATCACGTTGCATATAAAAGTCACTTTTTAAAGGATCTAGCCACGTGTACGTACCTTGATCCTTGCACACAAGTACGAAACTCCTAATTTCGAACCCGAGATTCCTCCTATAACAAACCAATAATCCTAATCAAATACATTTCAACCCATAAACACAAGGACTTAGACTATCGACTTTGACTAGTTGTGCATGAACAATTTATTATCATAACTTTTTTATACTATCGACTTTGACTAGTTGTGCATGAACAATTTATTATCATAACCTTTTTATAAAATTAACACTTGTATTTATGAAATAATCTTTAATGATCCATAGTAGTAGTAGTAGTAGTAGTAGTAGTAGTAGTAGTAGTAGTAGTAGTAGTAGTAGTAGTAGTAGTAGTAGTAGTAGTAGTAGTAGTAGTAGTAGTAGTAGTAATAATAATAATAATAATAATAATAATAATAATAATAATAATAATAATAATAATAATAATAATAATAATAATAATAATAATAATAATAATAATAAGAAGAAGAAGAAGAAGAAGAAGAAGAAGAAGAAGAAGAAGAAGAAGAAGAAGAAGAAGTAGTAGTAGTAGTAGTACGTAACATATGAATAGTAGTAGTAGTATTTCTAGCTAGTATTAGTAGAAGTACTAGAGAAAAAAGTATATGGCTTACGGTGCAATACAAGGAAGGAGGGGGCTGCTCTTGTGGTGGTCGGTGGCCGTCGGCGGTAGGCGGCGGTAATGGTGGTAGCTTTGTGGTGGTTGGGCGGCGCTAAGGTGAAATTCCGGCCAACTCTTGATGAAAGAAAGAAGCTAGAATGAAAGAAAGAAATGAAGAGGAAAGAAGGAGGAGATGGTTTGGAAGGAGATGGATTCATGGCTATTTATAGAAAAATTGGGGAATGCTTTAACCTTAGTATTAATGAAGGAGACAAGTGGGTAATTAACTCCCACCTTTGCCAACATCAAAACACATTTTTTTTTAAAAAAAATATATATATAGAAGTAGAATGCTAGGTAAATTGATGTACTATTTTTGTGTAGTACTAATGTACTACACTTATGAATTGGACTCGTGTATATATAGCAAATTTGGCACTTTGTCGTCTAAATCAGATACAGGGTATTAACGGTTGAAAATTTGATTTGGATACGACAAACTTTGACTTGACTCGTATAATTAAAATCTTTATATAATTATAAAATTATCTTCGTAAAATCATATTGATATTTTTGTATAATAATAAAATATTTCGGAAAAATCCATAATTAATAATAAGTAAGTTGCTTAAAAAAATATGGGGTATTACACACGTGTCATGATCACCTGTTATAACAGGTCATTGACTCATTGTTGACCGGCTAAGGCCATTGGAGGCAAACTAACCCCATAGTTAGGATTATTAAAAATTATACCCTACTTGGGATTATTAGAAGTAAATCAGCAATAGTTGGGATAATTAAAATGTATTTTTCCTTTTATTATTGAGTATATATAGAAATGAAGTATTTATGTATCACAGTTGTTGACTTAGGGCCTGTTCACATAAACTGAATTGAGCTTGAGCTGAACTGAACTGAATTGAACTGAACTGAACTGAACTGATTGGAGTTGAACTAAGCTGAACTAAACTGAA